GGGGGGGGGGGGGGGGGGGGGGGGCAGCACATCCGTGAGAACAAATCTACAAAAACTAACTACTTCACGTTTTACGGAATGAGGCGGGGAGGGGAATGTGTTTGAATCTACATTAACTACAATGTTAAGTTTTTTTTTTTAAGTATTGAGGAGGGGAGTAATTTTTCTACCTTCTTTTCGCTGCTTTCGTTTCTTAATAGATCGATCCGATGTATGTTTGTGCCCAGGCCTACTCTCCCACTAGACGGCGACAACACCGAAGCGGGAAAGGAGAGGGGCGGCGGGTCACAACAGCGCATCTCGAAGATGGAAGGCTCCACACCACGCCAGGATACTGCGGGGAATACAACAGCCTGAAAGGTATAGTCGAAACACGGGGACGAACCGTCTCCGAGATGAAGGTCAGCGGCCTCAAGTCCCCGATGTACCCCAGGCGCACGACGCCTTCCTTCAAAGCCGCGCACTTGAACAGCTCGGCGCTGGCGGGGGAGTTGTCCCAGCGGCAGTCCAAGGCGCGGTCCATGAGGCACTCGGCCAGGTGACAGATCATCACCGGAACCCCCATCGCCCTGGGAAAATATTTTTCAAGGGGGGGGGGGAGTACTTAATGTTTTGCATGCCGTAGTCGTTAGAGCATTGACCTCGCATTCCTAAACTGCCGGGACGGAGCGATAAGCCGGGTTTTCGCCGCCCCAGGCTACTACGTTTCACAAGGATGTAACGGACCTGGCCATCATCCTTGCCTTTACTGCGCGAAAACCAGATATTTGACGTCGCGTCCGGTCTCCGCCACGAAGAGTGGAAGACTAAACCCGGAACTCCCAACGCTCTCACATGCGACCAAACCTCTCTCTCAACAAGATGATAACTCGCCCTCCCTCCCTGTAAATAAATGCCAGGTCAACGATGGAACTCCCAACTTCCTGCATGCATGCAACCACCACCCCCCATGTCTGAACTCGCCCCCCTCCCCCCGGCTGTCACAACCAAATACATCTGCGTATCCCCCATCTCTCTCTCTCTCTCTCTCTTCATTGCCTAGCGTTCTCTGGTTCTTGTGCTCCTGTGTGACCCCCCTCCCCCTCCTCCCCGGACAACACAATACACATGCGTTACCCCCCCGCCCCCCGCCCCCGAGCGCGCCGCTTACTTAAGGTAGCACCACAGGACCCCCGCCGCCTGGTTCTTGTGCTCCTTGGTGACGTACACCACGAGGCCCTCGCTGGTCTTCTTGTAGACGGAGTGGAAGGCGTAGTGCTCCTCCGATTCCGCCGCACCGGTGAAGGTCAGGACCTGCCTCTCCACGTCGTACACCTTGATTGTCGAAGGCCCAGCCCTGCGCGCGTGTGTGCGTGCGTGCGTGCGTGCGTGCGTGCGTGTGTGTGCGCGTTAGTTATAGCATCGACCGAGGTAAACTGCGTGCGACTCAAAAGGCGGACCACCAGACTAGTGTACAAAAGTATGCCATGTGGGCACTGAGTTAGCTTCGACCGCGTTGACTGTGTGCGCGTGTGCAACGATGAGTATCGACCGCGTTAACTGCATGCGTGCGTGCGAATGAACATCGACTGCGGTGCCTGTGCGCGTTGTACGACTGCTGTGGGACGGTTAATTACGCATTGGCCACCGCTATTAACTGAGTGCGACTGAAAAGGCGACATACGAACCACCACACTCGCGGTAACAAAACAAACAAACCAAACCAAAATGCCTGAATACTCTTGTGGAAAACTTCCACAAACGCGCAATGAGAACACCCTTACTCTGTTACGAGCAAAGGTCCCTGAAGTGGTGAATAACCGTTCACCAACGAAGGAAATTTCGCTCTTATCCACAGCAAGGTTTTTTTCTATGGAGCTGTACTGCTGCAGCCGGTCAAACACGCCTTAACGCCACACTCACTCTCGTGCTTGCGCATTGGGGGTGCCGGCCCCTCCGCCCGAGGCCAACGCTGACATACAGGCGTACACCTGGCTCACGCTTACCCAGCACGATACCGCGTGGACAGCAGCCTGGGGCAGGTGGGGGGGCGGGGGGTACGAACGTCTTTGTTATGGCGAGGTACTCATAGCCGTGCATGCCGTATGGTGGTCGTTGGACCGCTGACCTCGCATCCCTACAAAGGCGGGACGGAGCACGCCGGGTTCTCACCGGACCAGGCTCTCACATCACCAAGCGCGAAGCCCCGTGAGGTATTTGGCGAGTCGTAAGGAGGGTGCGCTGCATCCTGCTAAGGGTGTTCAGCATCTTGTTGGGTGCTTACTTCCTTGCGTACGGATGACAGCTGCGAATGACTAAACATACTCTTTTTTGGGGGGGGGGCATGGTAAAACAACCGCGAGAGGGAGTAGT